CCACACACACACAAAAGCAACCAAACAAAAAAACCCAAGCAGCCCTAGCCGCTTTGGCTCAGTGGTTAAAGAGTTGGCGGGTGGACTGAAGGGTTCCAGGTTTCAAGGGCACGTACCTCGGTTGCAGGCTCGATCCCCGGCCCCAAGCATGAGGCAACCAATCAATGTGTCTCTCACATTGATGTTTCTTCCTCTCCCTCTCCCTCTCCCTCTCGCTCTCTTTCTCTCTCTCTCTCCCCCCCACTGTCTCAGAAGAGCAATGAAAAAACTATCCTTGGGTGAGAATAAAAAACAAAACCCAAGCAAACAAACTAGGGGTCTATAAATAGTAGGTCTATTAACCAATGACTATATTCTCCTCCGATTATCTTTTGACTTAAAACCCTGGTTAAACTTACTTTGGGGCTCAACTGTAAGGAGAAAAGCAAAACGAAATACCCATTTCTCCCAGGAAAAGAGGCGACATGTCTGAATTAACATCTCTGACTACCCATCTCTTTCTTACTCAGTAAATCCCACAAGGTGCCAACTCAGAAAACCTACCGTTGACTTAGTGCAGGATGTTGTATTAAATGTTTCAGCCAGGTGCTTCTGATCACATTTCGAAGTTCATGGTTATTGCGAGCTGACAACACACCAACTACCACATCAAAGTGACTAGATTTCAACTGAGGAAACAGGGTCGATTGATCTAGAAATAAGCAACAACAAATTAGGCATGTCACATCTCAATTACTAAGTTCAATGTGTAACATAAAAATTTTTATTACAAAACAATATAAATATATGCTCATGTCTGTAGAAAATACAAATAAATAGAAAGGAGAAATAAATTTTAAAGCACCCATAAACCAACCATCCCGAGATAACTACTACTAACACTTTGGTGTCTTCCACATGTACTCATGCTCATGTAAGTAAATAAATTCTTCAGAACAAACAGGATGTTTAAAACAAGAACCAGTTTGGAAAGGCACTGTGGCATGAACTATAGAACAGTGGGCAGTAAGAGTCAATCAGGCCACAGTCAGAATCCTGGCTCTTTCACATTACTTATAAAAGTTACTTAACTCCTTGAACCCTCAGTTTCCCTAACTATGAATGGGCAAAACAATACTTCTCATGGAGTTGTAAATTAAATGAGATAATGTGTATAAAGGTCCTGGTTTTGGGACCAGGCAAATAGTAGGCAACTAACAACAACAAAAATATACTTTCAAAGGTAAAGTCCTACCTTAATATAAGTTAATAGGTTTGGGAGATGAAGCTGAAAGACTCCCGTGCTGGGAAGTAGAACCCTTATTAACACCAATAAATTCTACAGCCAGCAAACCCTTTATCACTTACTAAATATTCAAAAGAATAAAGGAGGGAAAGCAACATTTCTAGAAAAAAAAAAATCAAGTGACAAGTCATGCAAATGGCTCATTTTTTACTGTCATAAGGTCTAATGGGCAAGATTACATTTTAAAAATGTGTCCTTAGAAAGAAGACAGAAGGGAAAGATACTTTGTCTTTTTTTTGTCATCAGTTTCAAAGCTTGAGAGCCATGGGCTTATAAATAGCTCTGATGAGGGATCCATTTCATCTCTTTCTCCAATGGTGGGAACTGATCCAAAAATGTTTCCAACAATAAATTACTGAAGGCCAGAGATCTTTACTACCATAAATGCAATGTTTTTATGTGCCACAGGATCTAAGTATTCAGTCAAAAGACAACAAAACATGTTGACATTTTTTTTCAAAGGACGAATTAAAATAATAAAAAAACAAATCTGGGGACAGATTCTTCTAATAGGATAATTTAAGGGCATTACATTGTAACAACTATAGGAATAAATGAATTTTTGTGTAGATACTTTATTTTCCATAATAAGCATGTTTCTTAAAAGGTACTTCAATTCTAAATGGAAGAGATACTTACTTCACCGTACCATGAATCTTGCACTAAAACAAATTCTTCTAAAAGGGCACAATTTATCTTTAATGTAAATCCAGATTTTCACAGATTAAGCTTGCTTATTTATTAACAGGCCATATTTATCGAACACCTCCTATGTTCTAAGTACTGTGTATAGAGTATCATTTTAATGCTTTGCATGCAGAGTATCATTTAGGGTTCACAAACCTGTGAGGCAGGGAGTTTAGGCTCCTTGTTATACACACAATGAAACACACAGAATTTAGTAACTTCCCCTTAGTCAAGCAGCTAGCAAATGGCTGGGCTAAGGTTTAAGCCCAGCAACCTACCTGCATTCTTCATCCCTATTCTACTCCATAGCCATGAAGCTTCTGCAGGTCATCCGAGTCCAAATTCTGATCTTTTACCCATAACACCAGTTCAAGAGGTGAATTAGTGATGAGTGAATCACTGAAAATACTGGTGAGCACTTTAATTTTTTAAATTCACAGCCCAGAACATATTTTTCTCAGATATAACTACATAATGAACTATATAACTATATGTATAACTATATTTATATAGCTACTATATGTATAACCATATAGCTACTATATATGTATAACGACATTTATATAGCTACTATATGTATAACTATATTTATATAGCTACTATATGTATAACTATATTTATATAGCTACTATATGTGTAACTATATTTATATAGTTACATAGTTATATAGTTCATTATATAGTTATACCTGAGAAAAATATGTTCCTGGGCCATGAATTTAAAAAATTTAAGTGCTCACCAGTATTTTCAGTGATTCACTCATCACTAACTCACCTCTTGAACCGGTGTTATGGGTAAAAGATCAGAATTTAGACTCAGAATTTAGACTAACCCTAAATGAGTGTGAATTTGAAGAGTAATTTAAATGCTTATGTAATATTTGTAATGATACCTCATGCTCCTCCTTCACAGAGAAATATTAATAGTAAGTACATTTTTGTGACAGGAGGGAGACAACTGTAGTAACCGGACATATCTGACACTAATTCCATAGTCAACATACTGCATAGATAGTATCAGTAAGAAATTATTTAAATTCCTTGTACCTCAGTTTCCTAATCAGAGAAAACGAATACCAGAAAATACTCTATTTCACCTATTTCAAAATGTCTTCTCAAAAGATTAAAAGCTGTAGAAGAGCAAAAAGCCTAAATGTCTCATTTATCTGACATCAGAAAACAAGGTTGCTACACACAAGTGCAATTTCAGAATAAGTGAAACATCCCTTTAAAGGCTAAACATCACTACCTTGTTTTGATAGATAATCAAAATAAATCTTTTAAAAATGGATCACACGAAACATAATTTAACCCTTTCCTGATGATAAAATCTTCATGAACAATTTCTCAAATTAATCCCTTTCTCGTCATTAATTCCAGCCACTGCTTCAGTTCAGACTTTTCTCTTTCACCTGGGCCATTACAAGGGTGTCCTAATGGCTCCTCCCTGACTTCTCATATGACTCCAAATCAAACAAGCATTTTCTAAAAATAAATCACAAATAATTAAACATGGCGATAACCACGAGGCACGAGAAAATCCCATGGATTATGGCTGTAAACTACCTTCTGTTCTCACTCCACCTGTCTCTGCCCCAGCCAACCCTTCCTGCCTCCAGCCATGTCTAAACTGCTTCTGTTGAACTGCTTCACTTCACAAGCATTTCTCCTCTCACAGAAGAGGGTACATGGCAGATTTGGGCTTTTGAGGGAATGTTTACTTCTACATAAACTGAAAAACAGGTTTCTAAAGACTCAACCAAAAAACTGTTAGAATTAGTAAATGAATTCAGTAAAGTTGTAGGATACAAAATCATTTTTGTATACTGGCAAAAATCAGTTGTATTTCTATACACTAACAAACTATCAGAAAAAAAATTAAGAAAATAATCCTATTTATAAATACATCAAAAAGAATAAAATACCTAGGAATAAATTTAACCAAGGAGGTGAAAGACTTGTACACTGAAAACTATAAGGCACTGATAAAAGAAACTGAAGACACAAATAAGTGGAAAGATATTCTGTGCTCATGGGTTGCAAGAAATATTGTGAAAATGTTCATATTACCCAAAGCAATCTCACAGATTCAACGCAATTTCTATCAAAATTCCAATGGCAATTTTTATAGAAATATAACCAACAATCCTAAAATTTGTATGGAACCACAAAAGACTCTGAATGGCCAAAGCAATCTTGGCTAGAGGCGCCATACACCCTGATTTCAAACTATATTACAAAGGTACAGTCATCAAAACTGGTATTAGCATAAAAATAGGTAGATCAATGGAACAGAATAAATAGTCCATGGGGAAACTCACGTATATGTGGTCAATTAATTTATTACAAAGGAACAAAGAACATACAACGGGGGAAAAAGTCTCTTCAATAAATGGTTCTGGGAAAACTGGACAGGTACATGCGAAAGAATAAAACTGAAACACTACCTTACACCATACACAAAAAGCAATTCAGAATGGATTAAAGATATGAACATAAGACCTGAAACCACAAAACTCCTACTAGAAAACATAGGCAGTAAGCTCCTTGACATTGGCCTTGCTGATGATTTTTTGTATTAGACACCAAACACAAAGGCAACACAAGCAAAAATAAACAAGTGGGACTACACCAAACTAAAGTTTCTGCACAGCAAAGGAAACCACAGCAAATGAAAAGGTAACCTACTGAGTGGGAGAGAAAATTTGTAAATCATGTATCTGATAAGGGGTTAATATTTAAAATTAATATAAGGAACTCATACAACTCAAACAAAAACAAACAAACCCCACAACAATTCAATTTAAAATGGGCAGAGGGTTTGCTCTCCCTCTCAGGACCTGCCTTCCCTTCTCTTCCCTCTCAGGAGTGTATCTTTACTTTTCTCTCCTAAATTCTAAGGGTCCCCACGAGACTTGCAACCAGGGGAGCAGCAGACAGTGGCAGCCTGTGAGGCCAACCCTCTGAACCTGTCTCCAAGGCCTGCTTTCCCTGACTTTTCAGTGAGCTGAGAGGAGCCCTGCCTTGGCTCACTTTTTTTTTAATTACAGTTTCCTAAGACTGAGAAAATAATATATTTTTGAATAATACATCTCTAACCTTCTTAAAATTTTTCCCTTTTATTGAATTTATTGGGGTGACACTGGTTAACAAAATTATATGTTTCAGGTGCACAATTCACAACACATCGTATGTACACTGTATTGTGTTCACCATCCCAAGTCAAGTCTCCTTCCATCACCATTATTCCCCCCTTTATCCTAGTCCACCTACCCTCTTAGCAATCACCTTGTAGCAATCACCACACTGTTGTCCATGTCCATGACTATTTTCCCTTTTTTCTCAATCCCTTCACACTCCCCAACCCAGCTGCTCCCCCTGCCCCCCAGCTGTCAACCTGCTCTCTATCTAGGAGTCTCTTTCTCTATTTGCTTGTTAGTTCATTTTGTTTAGTCGATTCCACATGAGGGATATCATACAGTACCTGTCTTTCTGACTGGCTTATTTCACTTAGCATAATACTCTCCAGGTCCATCCATGCTCTGGCAAAGAATAAAATTTCCTTCTTTTTTATGGTCAAGTAGTATTCCACTGGATAAATGTACCACAGCCTTTTTAATCCACTCATCTACTGATGGGCACCTGGGCTGCTTCCAAATCTTGGCTGTTGTAAATACCGCTGCAATAAACATAGGGGTGCATATATTCTTTCAAATTAGTGTTTTGGGTTTCCTAGGATACATTCCCAGAAGTGGAATTGCTAGGTCGTAAGGCCAAGTAAGGGAACTCTATACTGCCTTCCACAGTAGGTACAACCATCTGCATTCCTACCAGTAATGCAGGAGGGTCCCTTTTCTCCACATACTCTACACTTGTGTGATTTATTGATGACAGCCACTCTTGACAGGTGTGAGGTGATCTCATTGTGGTTTTAATTTGCATTTCTCTGATGATTAGTGATGTTGAGCATCTTTCATTTTATTTTTGTTCCTCTTTTATTTTTGATATTACTTATTTGGGTTCTCTTTTTTTCTTGAGTCTGGTTAAAAGTTTGTCCATCTTGTTTATCTTTTCAAATAACCAGCTCTTGGTTTTGATCTTTTGTATTGTCTTTTTAGAGTCTGTATCATTTATTTATGACCTGATCTTTATTATTTCCTACCTTCTACTCACTTTGGGCTTTATTTGTTGTTCTTTGTCAAGTTCCTTTAAGTGTCAAGTTAAAACTGTTCATCTGAACTTTTCTTTTTTCTTGAAATAGGCCTCTATTGCTATGAATTTTCCTTTTAGGACTGCTTTTGTGTGTCCCATAGATTTTGGGGTGTTTTGTTCTCATTTTCATGTGTTTCAAGATTTCTTATGATTTCTTCCTTGATCCCATTGTTAACTCACTCATTGTTTAAATAACATGTTATTTAGCCTCCATGTCTTTTTGTGTTTTTCAGTTTTTGTCTTGTGATTGAGTTCTAGTTTCATAACATTATGGTCAGAGAAGATGTTTGATATGATTTCAGTCTTCTTAAATTTATTGAGACTTGTGTCCTAACATGTGGTCTATTGTAGAAAATATTCCATGTGCACTTGAGAAAAAAGTAGATTTTGCTGCTTTGGGCTGAAATGCTCTGAAAATATCAATTATATCCATATAACCTAGTGTGTGATTTAAGGCCACCATTTCTTTGTTGATTTTCTGTATGGAAGATCTATCCATTGATGTCAACAGGGTGTTTAAATCCCCTACTATGACTGTATTACTGTCAATCTTTCCCTTTATGTTCAAGATTTGCTTTACATACTTAGGTGCTCCTAGGTTGGGTGGATAAATTTTTACAAGGGTTACATCCTCCTGTTGGATTGTTCTCTTTATCCTTAGGTAGTGTCCTTCTTTGTCTCTTCTTTGTTTTAGTCCATTTCTCAGATATAAGTATTGCTACCCCAGCTTTTCTTTTCCCATTCCATTTGCATGAAATACCTTTTTTTTCATACCTTTACTTTTAGTCTGTATCTTTCGTTCTGAGGTTAGTCTCTTATAGACAGGATGGGTCATGTTTTCTTATCCATTCAACTTAATTGGATCATTTAAGCCATTTGCATTTAAAGTGATTATGGATAGGTATTTATTGCCATTTTATTCTTTAAACTATGTTCCTCTGTTTTTTTATTTATCATCTTCTTAAAGAAGGTTCTTTAACATTTCTTACAATACTCATTTGGTGGTAATGAACTCCTTTAGTTTTTTCTTGTCTGGGAAGCTTTTTAATTCTTCAATTTTAAATGATAGCCTTGTTGGGT